TTGCATCTGAGGTTTACGAAACTAAACGGTCACTTGGCGAATTAAGGCAGTAATATTGTAATAGTTGGTGTCTCAGAATTGAAGAGGTCGTGTGGGCGTCGTATTTAAATCAGGCAATAAGCGTAAAAACAAAACACAAACTGTATTTACACTAATAAATCAATCGAATATACATCATTACAGAGAAGTGTCTCGATCGGCATCTGTCGTTCGCCTCGCTCCGCTCTTGCCTCGAGCCTTCTTCTTTCTTCTCGTTTCTCGTGAGCGTCAAATTCTTTCCAATCTGCAACATCCTCCCCCCCCCCCCCCCTTCTTTCTTTTTCCGCGTGAGAGTTGCCTTGTTTCATTCACTTGCCAGTTCCAGGGGGTAAAGGAGCTGCACAGGGCGCCGAAGCGTTATCCCGCTCGGTAGGCGCACTAGACAGGAACGCACGTGGTTGTCTCTGCCCAGCTGAACTGTTTCGATCCTCCCCGTTTTCCACATGAGCCGTGGGGTCTTGTCTTCGTGAACAAGAACGAGGTCCCCGTTCTGTAGGTCGTTTGTCCGCGTCTCGGGCGATCGGTGTGCGGAGCGGAGCTGAAGGAGGTATTCCTTCCGCCATCTCCGCCAGAATCGGTCCAGCTAGTAGTTGCTGCCTATGTAGCCAACGTCTGGTAATGTCCCCTCTCGCAGAACCTGGTATAGTTTCTAGGTTGACTGATGGGAAAGCCGTCAGACGCCTGCCCAACAAGAAGCGCGCAGGCGTTAAAGCATCCTGCTCGTGTGGAGCGTCGTGAACAGGGGCCAAAGGTCTGAATTCACGACGGCTTCCACCTCTTGGAGCATGGTCGTTAGTTCTTCGAAACTAAACTTGTTCCTTCCTAGTATGTTCCTTAGACTACGCTTCACTGTCTGGACCATCCTTTCCCAGAACCCGCCCCACCAGGCTGCTCTCTCAGCGATAAACTTCCACTTTATCCGATGCTGTGAGCAGTGGTCCTGGAAGCGGCGGTTCGTGAGCACGTCCCATACGCCGCATAAGTCCTTTGCTGCCCTCTTAAAGGTGAGGGCATTGTCTGAGTAGACAACACTGGGTAAGCCCCGTCGGGCAGTAAAGCGCTGGATGGCCATGATGAACGCCTCTGTCGATAGGTTGGAGACAAGCTCTAGGTGTATGGCTCTTGTCACCGCACATGTGAAAAGCGCAATGTACGACTTTTCATCTGATGCTGCAGTCTTTACCATCAGTGGACCGGCAAAATCGATCCCGACCACCTCAAAAGGATTCGCTTGGGTAATGCGATCCTGCGGCAAAGGTGCGGTCGGAGCGTTAGCCGGCTTGAGTCGGGCCAACCGACCACCATTACATTTGTTGATGACCTTCTTGGCCAGCTGTCTTGCTCGCGGTATCCAGAACCGCTCTCGGACTTGGGTTAATGTGTCCTGAAGTCCGCCGTGCAGTGTTCGACGATGGCAGTCTCTTATCAATAACTCAGTGAAGCGGTGATCGGGAGGTAGCAAAAGCGGGTACTTGATCTCGATTGTTTCGTTTAATTGTTGCAGTCGTCCCCCCACTCGCAACAATCCGTTGGTGTCAATGAAGGGGGCGAGCGAGACTATGCTGGATCGCCTTTCCAGTTTCTTATCTGTCTTTAGATCGTTCACTTCTTGTGTAAAAGCTTCCTGTTGCGTTCGTGCGATCCACCAAGTCTCGGCTCGTTCAAGTTCTTCGGACGCTAGCGGGCCCTCACGTCGGCTTCGCCGCGTTCGGCAGTTCTTTACAAACCGCATAATCCATGCAGTAATCCTGAGGATCCGTTCCAGCGCCCCGTATCGTTCAAGTTACAATAGAGGTGCAATCCCCTCTGTTGCAGTCTGCAATACGTGATGTTCCAGCTTTCCCTCCTCTGCAATAACTGCTACTGGAACGTCGTCGCCCATGACTAGGTTCGGCCATGCGTCTTCGGTTTTACCAAGCCACTTTGGACCCTTCCACCACAATTGCATACCTTTTAGAGTTTCCGCAGATATTCCCCGTGTCATCAAATCTGCCGGATTTTCTTGTCCGGGGCAGTGCTTCCATGTAGAAGGTGACCCTCCAGATTGGAGCTCTGCCACTCGATTTGCCACAAAGGGCTTCCACTGAGTTGCTGACCCGCGGATCCAGTGAAGTGTGATAGCGCTATCTGTCCAGTAGAATGTCTCTTGAATGTTCATGATCTCTCCAAGATACTGGCCCATCCGTCTTCCAATCACTGCAGCCATTAGTTCTAGTCGAGGTAGTGTTATTCGCTTTATGGGCGCCACACGTGATTTCGAGAATATCAAGTTCATTTCTACCTTCCCATCTTCTCCTTTAGCCCTCAGGTAGGCACAAGTGCCATAGGCCACCGGACTTGCGTCGCAGAAGACGTGTATCTGGAGAGAACATATGACTTCTCTTGGCGTCTTCACGATGCAGCGAGGAATCACTATCTCTTCTAATTGTGGAAGTTCTGCGCACCATCGCCGCCATTGCACCAGTAGGTCGTCCGTTAGATCGTCGTCCCAACCGATTCCTTGTTCCCAGATTCGTTGAAACAAAACCTAGATTCGTATAACGAACGGAGCAAGGAGTCCCAACGGGTTGAAAACCCTAGCTGATGCACGGAGTACATAGCGCTTCGTCGTCCCACTGCACGTGACGAAGTTCAGGATTCTCTCTACTGGAATGGCCAGCGTGTCAGCGTCACGTCGCCAAAGAAGTCCAAGTACAGCTCTCGGCTCAGAGAGTGCAGACGTTGATGCAGCTTTATCGAACGATCTTTGCAGTTCTGTCGCGTTGGTAGACCACTTTCGGAGTCTCATTCCTGCATCTTCTAAAATCTGGTTGGCTTGTTCCTGTATTCGCGCCGCTTCTTCAATAGTGGGGGCTCCGATCAGGAGGTCGTCGACGTAGAATCCCCGTTGAAGCAGTTCCGCAGCGATCGCAATTCTCCATTGACGTTGCTCAGATGATGAGTAAAAGTGGCGGTTAGTAGAAAGGGGCTGGCCGATGTCCCAAAGGGCACTCTCGTCATCCTCCACTCTTCAACGGTTGGTTCAGAGCTTGCTGACGACGAATCTCCCTGAAACCACAGGAAGCGTAGGACGTCTCGATCTTCAGGTCGAACGCTGACCTGCAGAAACGCCTTTTCTATGTCCGCTGTTAAGGCGATTGGGTGTAGACGGAAGCGCACCAAGATTCCGACCAGATCGGCGTTCAAATTCGGCCCTTTTTCCAGTTGTTCGTTGAGTGAAGCAACTCCTGGGAGATGAGACGAAGCGTCGAAGACGACTCTCAGCCTGGTGGTCTCGGATTCATTCCGAATTACGGGCTGATGGGGCATATAATAAATCCGTGGGTTTGTCGACTCGGCACAAAATGGGCTTGTTGAAACTTTTTCTGCGTGTCCTGAGGTGATGTAGCTGCGTATGACGTTGTCGTAATCTTTTGCGAAGGACTCGTCGCGTGACAATCTCTTCTTCAAACTCTCAAGACGTTTCAATGCCAGCGTGCGGTTATCCTTCAGTTCTCCCGCGCCGACCCTGAACGGTAGACCGACTTCGTACCGTCCATTCACTTTCCGTATTGTTCGGTTGAACTCGTTCAGCAGTTCGTTCTGCTCTTCCATCTTGCTGGAGGGCTGGTCAGAAATTCCGATGCTCTCTAGCTCCAAAAAACGTCGCAGGATGTCTCCGACGTCCTCGTACGTGAAGCATTCCGTTCTTAGCACGCATACCATGTTGCTGGCGCTACCTTTGAGAGAGCTGTGGTTTGACACTGGGCCTTGAAAGGTCCAGCCAAAAATGGTGCTTATAGCTACCAGCTTCTGATTTTCCTTGCAATGCAGCACTTGGTCACCGTTCACTCGCCACAACTGGTCTGAACCGACCAGAAGGGAAATGCCCTCTTCAGCAGTGGCCAGAGGGGAGAGAAGCATGTCCGCAATACGACGACCGTTTTTCATCATACGGCGAACAAATTCGTGGTCAACGGGTACCTGCACAACGTCCTTACAGATGAAGGGTACCTCGACGGCCTCGATGACGCACTCTTCTTGGCCGTATTGGCTGTGCAACCGTACTTGTACTAGTCTCCGACGTTGCGGTCTTGACGTGGAGTGGCCGAACGTATTTAGCCGGAGGCTAACATATCCCAGAACCTTAAGGCCGAGTTTGCGAGAAAGATCCTCACGAATGAACGTCCGTTGGCTACCTCCATCGATAATGGCTCGCACGTAAAGTCTTTGGTTTCCTTCCTCAGCCCAGGCTCGGAACGTTTGAAGAAGCAATTCGGAATCCAATGGGACGTCAGCACTGTCGGAGATTGCGTTCTGGACGCTTGTCGCAGGGGCACCTCTATCCGATTTCTTCACGTTAGGTTTCCAGTTCGGGTCGCACATGGATGTGGCATGTCGACCGGAGCACGACGCGCACGTCACCTTCCGCCGGCACTCCCTCGCCCGGTGCCCTCCGATTGTGCATCTGAAGCAGCGGTTTTCTTCCGCCAGCCTCCTTTTCTTCACCTCTAACGTGAGGTCGCCAGTACATACTTCTGTTGCGTGCTTTGTGGACCGGCAAAAGAAGCAGGGGCTTGTGATATTTGCATGTAGCACAGAGGCTGCTGGCATTCTGGGTTTTTCAGTCCTTTTCTTCTGCGTCTCTTGCCGTTCTTCTACTACTCAGGCTCTCTCCCTACTCTCAACTTCGATCCGAAGGAAGCTTAGAATATCGGCGAGCTCATCTTTGGCATCGGCGAAAGAGGGCGGCCTTGAAGCGCTCCGGGTGGAAAGTGGTCCGTCGACAGAGTGTCTTGTGTCCTGCACCGCCGGTGAAGTCAGTGAAGTCGGACTTTTTTGCGTTTCTCTCGTCGACCTGTAGGCTGCAGTACTGCTTGCCTGCTGCCGGTGATAATTTACGACGACTTCGCTCGGCAAGGCCTTGAGGAGGATATCGGACATCATCGTGCAGTACGTTGCCGATCCCACGCCGAGCCCTTTCAGACCTCGGATGTTCGTCTGGACATGATCGTACATCTTTCGGAGGCCTTTCGTGTCTTTCGCGGAGGCAACAGGAGGCAGTGCTCGGAGCTTCGCCAGATGATTTTGCTCGATCCTCGTTTATCACCGAAGCGCAGTGTCAAGATTTCAATGGCATCGTCGTAGCAGGCCTCACTTGCCTGAAGCCCAGCGATGGCCGCCGCCGCTGGTCCGGTGACATGGTTGTGCAGGTACTGAAACTTTCCCGATCGTGGAATGCTATCGTTTTCGTGGATAGCACGACCGAACTGCTCCCAGAAGCTCTGCCATGCGCTGACCTCGCCGTTGAAAGTTTGAAGTCGTAACTTGGGAAGCTTCACGCCACTAGTAATGTTGGTGCGATTTCTTCCCAGGTCTGTAGTGGCAGTTGCAGATGTTGTCGCGGATGTGGTCATCTGGGTGGCCTGTGCCTGTTGTTCTTTACGTCTCAGTGAGTTTGCCTTGCAGTCCAACAGCGCCATCATTCGGATGGCCTCGTCGTCGTACTCCGTGACCGTTGTGTATTCTGCGACGAGGTCTTGTTCCGATATATGATCTTCTATCTCCGTGTTCAACTCTTGAAGAGCCCTGTTATTGGCCTTGAGCCTTTCTAGCCAGGCAGTCCGCGATGCCAGGTCCGCTGTCTCCCTCCCCGCTGTCGCCTCGTGGATAATTTTCGTGTTTTGCGACCGCTTCACTCCACGTTTTGCTTTGAGACGTTCCATATTTGACGATCTCCCACACAGCTCTCGGAAACAGCGTTCCAGGCAGGTGTTCCACAAAGGTGGAAAATCCGCTCACCTCAATCGTTCTCGTTCCCGGGTTTCGGCACCATAATGTCTCAGAATTGAAGAGGTCGTGTGGACGTCGTATTTAAATCAGGCAATAAGCGTAAAAACAAAACACAAACTGTTTTTACACTAATAAATCAATTGAATATACATCATTACAGAGAAGTGTCTCGATCGGCATCTGTCGTTCCCCTCGCTCCGCTCTTGCCTCGAGCCTTCTTCTTTCTTCTCGTTTCTCGTGAGCGTCAAATTCTTTCCAATCTGCAACAGTTGGTGCGCGCCGATAGCCTTTCAAAGTGAAAAAGCTATGTCATGTTCGCGCTAACAGTGTCGCACATTGTATCTTCACTGTAGCACCTGTTCCTAACGTAGATACGACGCGCACTGTTAATTTTTTTCCGCATAGCAACGTTTGTTTAAAGTGTTTTTTTCTTGTCATGCAAATGTCTGAAGAAAAATGCGTCAACGAGTGCGAAAAATGCTGCATCTGTTTCGATTCTTTGGAAGACGCCGACGACAAGTAACGGACTGTCAACTGCTGGACACAAGGTAGGCAAGCAGAACTTGCAATTTTTTGCCATAACAAGTGGCATGGCATGCGCGAACCGCAAATTTCCAAACAAAACCTACCGCAGTACCGGCGGTACCGAGGTAGGGAGCAGCGGCAGGGCACGGCGCAGGGGCTGCGCCATGTTGGAGTTTGGGCGACTTCGTCTTCGCAAACGGCTAGGAAGCCGCTCAAGCTAGCTTGACGGCGTCAAAAGTAATTATTAAAACGTTAGCGCTTCATTTTATAAACATAATTATCGCTACTTATTTTAGTTTCGCAATCTATTAATAGAGCAATGAGGCTTCGATTCGTTGCAGTAATCAGCGCCTCCGACCACGGCAGCGCTGCTGAGGGCCCAGTTCGCCCAGAAATCGACTCCATTGGGTCTATGGTAGTGACCGGGTACTGCTCAGGCATTCAAACGCACACGGCCGGCAAAACGTGCGAAACATAGGCCGTTGCTTCGATGAGATTGTATTCGTATCTTCAACATGTTTGAAATAAAACGATCAGCAAACCGCAATATACAACTCATAAAAGACACAGCAATAATAAATTATTGCACATGTCAATTTCGCCACAATATTATCAATAAGTCCTGAAGATGTTGCAAAATAATGAATGCGAAACTAAGCCTGCAATGGTGAAAAAGAAATTCGGCAGACATGCAACCTTCTCGAAAGGTTGCATGAAAAAAAAAAAAAAAAGAGCGAGCCGCAGTAGCGCAGTGACTTGAACGGTCCAGCATATTGAAACACGAAAAAGAAAAAGAAACAAAAGAGTTAAGCCAACTGCTACAAAGGTTGCTGCAGGAAGAATGTCGTATGCCCGGCTTTTTCTTTGATGACATAGTCAGTTTGAAAAAGAAACTTGAGGCTCTCGATACGGAACGGTGCAAAGGGGCCATGGTGCGCGCGCGATTAAAATGGTTATCACTTGGCGAGATACCAACAAAACGAGCCCTCGGGGTAGAAAAGACGTACGCCAGTAAAAATGAGATCAGCGAAATTTTGTACCACGGAACTGTAACCAGCGATAAAGAACTAATTGAATGCGCGTTCGTAGACTGCTATAAGGGGCTTTTTAGTCTTCGTGCCCCCAATAAAGACGGGTTCCAGACACAATTTTTGCCGTTAATGACAAAACTAGAGGACAACGTGAGGGAGAGATGAGAGCAGCCAGTAATGTTGGGCGAAATCGAAAAGGCGATCGAAAATTTTAAAATCGGAAAATCGCCCGGTCCGGATGGTTTAGGAGCGGAGGTCTACAAGGCTTTCAAAGACCAAATTGCACCTTTTTTGTATGGAGTGTTCAGGGAAGCGTACGATTTGAATTGTTTGCCTCCATCTTTTTTGTACACGCACACCATTTTTATTCCGAAAAGTGATGATGGCGAAAAGCTACGTCTAGTTGGTTCTTATCGTCCAATTACTTTGACGAATGTTGATTATAAGATTTTCATGAAAATTCTCGCTGACAGGCTACAAAGTGTTATAGATATGATTGTCGGCCCACACCAGACGTGTGGTATCAAGGGAAGAAGTATTGTTACAAACATTCATGTTGCACGTAGTATTTTAGAATGCTGTGATAGTTTGGACCGTAAGGTGGCACTACTGCAAGTTGATCTAGAAAAAGCTTTCGATCGCGTGTCTCACCAACTTCTTTTTTCTATCTTAAAGCACGTGAATCTGGGTTCCGTTTTATGCGATGGTGTGCAGATGGCGTATAAAAACTGCGCCACCAGCCTTGTTGTCAACAAGCGTGTCAGTGAGCGTATTAGGCTTTTTTCGTCAGTGAGACAGGGTTGTCCACTTTCGCCGTTACTTTTTTGTATTTTCATTGAACCTTTTTGCTTAAGCATTATCAATGATAGTCATCTGCGTGGGTTTAGGCTGCAAGCTACCGAAGTGCGCATTCTGTCTTACGCAGATGACGTAGCTATTTTTTGTGTCGACGAAGAAAGTGTTCGAAGAGCAGTTGAGGTAACCAAAAGCTTTTGTGAGCACACGTGTAGCGCGGTAAACTGGCACAAGTGTACTGGTTTTTGGCACGGTAATTGGCCCTCCGTGCCGACTGTGTTTGAGGGCATTGTATGGTCCCCCACGCCGGTACGTTATCTCGGAGTGCCTTTGGAACATTATCGCACCAGCGACCAGTACTGGCACGATGAAACTGAATCTCTTCGTGCAAAGACTCTGAAATGGGGAGGGAAGTGCTTGTCCATTTTTTCGCGTGCAACTGTGTGCAACATTTTTTTCGCTGCCAAGCTGTGGTATGTTTTGCAAGTTTTGCATTGTTCACGGATCAATATTCAGCGCATGCATCGGGTGTTTGCTGTTTTTATTTGGTGTTCGGCGTAGGAAAGATCAAGTCGATCAAATCTCTTTCGTCGAGTCAAGTCCGGCGGTCTCGGCCTTTCGCATTTGTTTATTAGACAGCTGGTCAACAGGTTCCTTTTTCTTCGAGACCAAAGAGACCCTTTTTTACGCACTGTAATTCAGGTAAGGCTGCGCAATCTGCTGCCCGAGTTTATCGTAGCGACGAACGATGAAGTCTGCTTTGGTGTTCAGGGTTATTTGAAGGAAGTTATCTGGGCCTATCGGTTTTTGGCAACACGTTTTTCCTTAGAATATTTGTCTGGCGTGTCACGCAAGCGGTTGTCGAAGGACTTGATCGAGTTGCTTTTTCCCACACCTTTGTATCGATCGCTGTACAGCGCAGGCACAGGGAATTATGTTCTAAAAAGAGTCAAGAAAATGGTAATTCCCGCGTGCACGAAAACATTTTTTTTTAAGTTACATAGCGGATCGCTTCCTGTAAAAGCTTGGTTAGTTGAAAAGGGCATACCAGTAGCATGGTCAGAAAACTGCTTATTGTGCAAGAAGCCAGAGACCATTGAACATGTGTTCCTGGACTGCTGGGACGCAGTGTTTTTTTGGGACGTCCTTCAAAGGACTATAAAAAAAGACCTCCCTTTAACGTCCCACGGCATTCGGTTCCTGTCTGTAGAAGCTGCTTCTGTGCCTTATGATATGTTCATGCTCATGGGACTGCACAGTATATGGCGATGTCGTATGGCAGTACGTCATGCGGATATCGATGTGCGGCCAGTGTATAAGTATTTTGTAGAACACATGTGTTTCCTTAAAGAGCTGTACAGGGCGCAGCAGCCTCAACCTGAGTGGCTGCCACTTCTGGAGGATTTGTCCTCCATCAAAGACTTCTAGCTGTGACATTAGCCAGGAAGGCTGATGGTTTTACCTATTTAGTCTATCTTGATAACTATGTATGCCACCAATGTTAAACAGGAAATAAATAAAAAAAAAAGGCGGTAGCGCAGTGTGTTGACGCTCTGGTTTTCTGAGCTTGTGGTCGTTGGTTCGAATCGCGGTTAGCACTGATTGTTTTCTTTCACTTTTTTTTCATTTTAAATGTTTTTTCTCACCTTTTTGTATTCGTTCTTATTATTTGAAATATTTTATTTCACCTGTTCGTATCCGCTTTTATTTTTTCATTTTTTTTTTCACCGTTTTTGTATTATTTTGTATTTTGTATTATTTTGTATTTTGTATTATTTTAAGTATTTTTTCTCACCTCTTTGTATTAGTTTTTATTAAAAATATTTTTTTTCTCATCTTTTAGTATTACTTTTTATTATTTTAAATATTTGTCTCTCACCTTTTTTAATTCGTTTTTATTATTTTAAATATTTGCTATGTTTATGCTGTCGCCGGCACCGTTCTTCAGGCACCGTTCTTCCTCACGGCATTGTTTTTTGTTTTGTTTTTTTTTTCGCGTTTTCGCGATAGAACACGTCAGCTTTGCCATGGTGGTATCAAATACGCCAGCGTCGGCAGTCATTTACGAAGGATTCATCAACGCAAACATTTCCACTCGCTACATATGAATCGCCGCAGTTCGTCGGAATCTCAATGACGTGACTGCATAGTGAAAAAGGCTAAAAAAAATAGAACGATGCCGGTCCGTAAACGGAAGTTCCCGGGGATCGCCAGCCTGCGAACAGCAAAGCGCCGATGCCGACCAGTCACTGAACTTCCATGTAAATACTGCCCATCAAAGACAGCAAAATAACAATGCCGGCCAGTTACTGAACTTCCATGTAAATACTGGCCATCAAAGACAGCAAAATACCGGTGCCGGCCAGTTACTGAACTTCCGTAAATACCGGCCATCAAAGCCAGTAAAATACCGATGCCGGCCAGTTACTGGAACCTCCATGGAAAGACTAGCCAGCAAAGACAGCAAAAACCCGATGCCGGCCATTCACTGTAACTTCTACGGCTGGACTGGCCAATGTGCAAGACGAAAACCCAAAGCCGGCCGGGGCCGGTAGCTCCCCGGTGCCCATGGCCAGGCGCTG